GGAGGAGGGAAGGGGGGGAAGCCGCGCTCCGCCCGAGGGCGCGTGTGCTGTTCGCGCCGGGGCCGGAAGGGGGCGCTAGTCGCCAGGAAATCACGCGCCGGTGGGAGGTGCGTGGGCCGCTCCTTGGACAGCGGGAGGGAGCTGTGATGAGTCAGTTTCCTGCAAAGGGCTCCCTGCCCGCCAAAACTTAGCTTCCACTCCGACTGCGCGTCACTCTCAGCTGAGGAGGGGGGCGGAGGGGGACCGGAGGCGGCGAACACGTCACGCTGACCCAGCCAGGCTTCTGTCACCCCGCCACTGTCGGGAAACCGCGCGCTCTGGCGCCATCTCTGTCACACACACCCCGCACGCACACACACCCCGCACACACACACCCCGCGCACACACACACACACACACCCCGCACACACACCCCGCACACACACACACACCCTGCACGCACACACACCCCGCGCGCGCACACACACACACACACACACCCCGCACACACACACACACACCCCGCACACACACACACACACACACCCCGCACACACATCCCGCACGCGCTCACACACACACCCCGCACGCGCGCACCCCCCCCACACACATACACCCCGCACACACACACACACCCCGCACACACAGGCGCGCAGTGATCTGATCCCTCCACCGTCCCTCCACGCCCAAAGCACGGAATGAGTCAGATCCCTGGAACATAAAAATAGACCGGAGCAGAGAAAACAAAACAGCTCGAAAGTCCTCCCCGAAACGCGACATGGAGGGAGGGCGCCGCCTGGACGCCCTGAAGTGCCAAACCCAGTTCCAAGATTTTTTTCCGCAGGAGGGCGAAGTGCCCTCCCCCCGCCCCGCCCCGCCCCGAAGTCGCGGGACTGGGCGGCGGCACCCAAAGGGGCCCCCTGCTCGGCTCAGCCCCGTCGCCTTCGGAGAGGAATTCTGGGCTGGGTCCGGGGCGCCCCGNTCACACACACCCCGCACGCACACACACCCCGCACACACACACCCCGCGCACACACACACACACACACCCCGCACACACACCCCGCACACACACACACACCCTGCACGCACACACACCCCGCGCGCGCACACACACACACGCACACACCCCGCACACACGCACACACACCCCGCACACACACACACACACACACCCCGCACACACATCCCGCACGCGCTCACACACACACCCCGCACGCGCGCACCCCCCCCACACACATACACCCCGCACACACACACACACCCCGCACACACAGGCGCGCAGTGATCTGATCCCTCCACCGTCCCTCCACGCCCAAAGCACGGAATGAGTCAGATCCCTGGAACATAAAAATAGACCGGAGCAGAGAAAACAAAACAGCTCGAAAGTCCTCCCCGAAACGCGACATGGAGGGAGGGCGCCGCCTGGACGCCCTGAAGTGCCAAACCCAGTTCCAAGATTTTTTTCCGCAGGAGGGCGAAGTGCCCTCCCCCCGCCCCGCCCCGCCCCGAAGTCGCGGGACTGGGCGGCGGCACCCAAAGGGGCCCCCTGCTCGGCTCAGCCCCGTCGCCTTCGGAGAGGAATTCTGGGCTGGGTCCGGGGCGCCCCG